GAGGTTTTGATCTAAATATAAATAAATACTATTATATTATTAATAAATCATAAAATAATAGAAATTCTATAAGCTGAATGAAGCTCAAACACTAAAATTCGAAAAATCATTACGCTAATTTGGGCAAGGCAGCTTACTGCTCAGTTGGGTTCCTCATTCTTTACACAGCTTTGAACCCTACATAGAACGTATATACATAGATCATGTCTAGCAACAACTATGATAAACTGGGCTTTTTTTGCTTTGCTTTGAACTCACTGTTCTATGGCTTAGGCTGCTTATCAGCATCATATATAGTAGACAGATTAGGCGTGAAGTTTTGTCTATCAATTTCAGCAATTTCTGATACTGTATGGATATTAGCTATTATACCTCCTGCATTATCTTCTGATAAAACATCTGATGATGATATGTTTTATACAAGCGATGGCTTTATTTATACGACATAAATATTAATTCAAATAATTCAAGGCTTTTGTCTCGGTCTTAAATGGGTTGCTGGTAGTAAATACATTTCAGAATGTGCTACAGAGGAAACAAAAGGCTTTTATTTTAGCTTTTACTGGGGATTGTTTATGGTATCAATGGTCCTTGGCAGTTTGATAGCAGCTTTTGTTTCAATCTATTTTGAATAGGCAACATATCTTCTATTTATGGCTGGGATTGCTGCGCTATCTGTAATAATTTTCGCTACTCTGACCAAACCTATTCCCTAAGAAAGATATTTACTGGTAGATAATGATGATTATCAGAGTGAAAAAGAAAAAATAATACTCCAAAAAAGTGATAGTTTATAAATCAATGGAGCTAATAATGGCAGCTAAGAAATTCTTCAGCAAGATGTAAAACATGATTAATAAAATAACACCAACCATAATAATAAAATAGTGACTGTTTAAAATTAAAATGTTGCAGTAACTCCGATATCGTTTAGATAAGAGTTAAAAGAAGTTCTACTCCTCATAAAATCAAAAAGAATGCTGCCTTTGATACCATAGCTAATATGGGTGGGCATAAGTATTGCTGTTTATTCTGGGATATTTGTTATTATAATCATTGATACACAAACTAAGGGAGATGACTAGTAAAAATTTTCTAACTCAATGCTTGCATTGGTTTCATTAGGAGCTGGTGAAATAGCAGGTAGTATTCTTTCAGGCTGGATGATAGATAAATATGGAAATAAAAAGACTGTTATAATGAATATTTTCTTAGTTTTTATTCAAACTTGTCTGATGATAGCTTTCTTGATAGAATATAAGTATTCCTGGTTAACTTTTGTTTTGACATTTACTTGGGGTTTGTAAGACAGCTCAAATAATACTTTATCAAGTGAAATGCTTGGTTTTGAATTCACTAATAATTCTTAATCATTTGCTGTGTCTAATCTTGGCTTAGCATTGGGTGATTTAATATTTAACGTTATCGAGGGATTTATCGAGGGAAAGGAATATTACTTGATTTATACATCTATAGTTGGATTTTTGGGAATAATTTGTAATATAACAACGCTATTTTTTAAATTTAAACCCATGCCCAAAGAACTAGAATAAGCGTAGAAAGAAAATAATTTTAGAGAAGAAAATTGATGATCATTACAAATTTATCTTATTTTAGATTATTAAATTCTTTGTATTAAATAAGCAAAATATCGAAAGGTGGGGTTTTGGGGTTTTGGGG